ATCAGTATCAACATTCGAAACAACATAGCTTACAAAATATTTATTATAAGATAGTACATTTAATGTTATACATAAAAAAAGAACTTTCTCATCAAAACAAATAATTTTTTTCAATTTATATACCAATAAATGATTGTTATTTAAAGATGTTAGTATATGACTGGTTTTATAAACTATATTGTTGTATATTATTTGGTCATAACAATGTGCCAAATTAAGTACAGATAAATCATTGGGAGAAAATAAAATTTTAATCTTTTCAAAATATTCACATAAATTTAGTGGTAAGCCTAAGTTTGCCGAGATACAAGAACTATTTTTTAAATTTAAATTATAATCTGAAAAATGAATGGAGTATTTAATAGCCAAAGATATAGGAAGTTGAACTCTTGAAGTTATGTTTTTAGAGTATGCTTTAAGTTGTCTATGTTTAGATTCAAACCGATAACACCATAAAAATTTTAAGGGGCCTGATTTTTTTATTATATTACAGTAGTGGATAAGAAAATGATTGGTTGAGTTTTAGTGTGTCTTGAAATAATTCTACATATTTATTATTGTGATATATAATATGATTTTGTAAATCTAAAATAATTTGATCATTAAAATTTGACAATAACAATAAATCAATCATTTCAATAAAATTTATCAAGAATAACCATATTGGATTGTTACAATTAGAATTTTGATTATTAAGAACTTCAGATTTCATGTGTTTAGAAAATGAACGATAAGTTGAGAAAGTCTGTGAACAATGTGGTATGCCACAACGGTAAAAACTTGATGATGTTAATGAATGAACATACTTCAAATGTGCAATGAATTGATGAAGTTCAATAAAGATATCTTTACAATTAAAACAAATTAGATTCATTATTGTATATAATTTAGTAACTGTAATANATTTATAATTTAGTAACTGTAATAAAGTTGAAAATATTAAATTAAATTGTATCTAGTCGAAGACATTACCCTTCAAAATTGAAAAAATTTCCCTCGTTCCCCGTAAATGGGGGAAACCTCCAAAAAAATTACAAATTTAAAAATCGCTAATTTTCGAAATTTTTTCAATTTTTTTTACTAAAAACTGC